AGGTCATTGAGGCTGGAGGGAAGGGACCCCAACAGCCTTTCCAGCCCATAGTCGCAAAACTCACTCGACCTTCCCAATCCAGGGAATGCTCCGCTGCATTGGGGTCTAGCTGGAAAGACCCCCACGGGCTCTCAACTTGCTCATGAGGGGCAGCACAGGCAGCAGRCCTGGGTTGGAGGGCACAGAAGCTGGAAATGGTCTGTGGTGTGAAAGCCTTTCAGACACCTCATGAGCACCATCCTCCCTTCCAAAAGTCAAATAGTTTTTAAAATGTGCATTCTACATACGTATGCCTATAAAGCATGGTATCGATAACTATTCGTGTAAATAAGCATAGCCGAAGCGGAGGAGGCGCTTTCGGGCTCCGCCCGCCCTTCCCCACTCCTCCCGGCGCTCTCGCCTACCTGCGCCCAGGCCGCCGCCGCCGGCAGTGCCGCCGCCCGGCTCGGAGTGCGGGGGGCTCCGGGCGGGCTGCGCAGGGCAGGGCCGGGCCGGGCCGGGCCCGGGGGGCGGCGGCGGCTGCATCGCGTGCGAAGCGGGGCAGCGCGGCGGGCCCGCTCTGAGTCAGCGCTCGCCGCGGCGGTGAATGCTGCGGCCGATGAGCAAAAGGGAGACAGACGCTGAGTGATCTCGCGCGCCCGCCAGGAGGGCCGCCTGGCACGCAAAGTGTTTTCCTCTCACGCCGCCGGGAGCCTCCCGGGGCGCCGAGCGCTGCCACCTCCGGCCGCCCCCGGGGAGCCGTGGCGGGAGGGAGGCAGGTGGAGCCAGAGGCTCGGAATAGAGACAACCTCGTCCCGCTTAAGAAAGACAGTGTAGAAACAGCGCGGGGGCTCCGGGAGAGGGGCCGATGAGGGGAGCGAACGGCCCCTCTCCTGCGGACCAACGGCCGTTAACGGCCGCCTGCGCCCTTCATCGACCCCCCCCGCGGCCCAACGGCTGTTAACGGTCGCCAGCTCCCCTCATCACCCCTCTCCCGCTGACCAACGGCCGTTAACGGACGCCGGCGTCCCTCATTGCCCCCCTCCTGTGGTACAACGGCCGTTAACGAACGCCCGCGCCCCTCATGGGCCCCTTCCGCGATGTAATGGCCGTTCTCACACGTCATTTGTCCAACCATAACAGTCAACCTGCATGGTCAAGGGTATCTGGAGAGACCTGATCCTTCCTGCGCCAGCAACAACTTAAACSACTTTCTTTTCAAGAAAGACTTTTTTTTTTTTTCTTCAGAAATTGGGAGCGCACCAACACGTATCGAAATTTCATGCCCCAGAACTCAGTTGAACCAGTTACACCACAAGCTTTTCCCAGGGCTGGCAGGCCGTGGATGATTACTCACACAGAAAGCTTCTGTAACGTGGATGTCCCCTAAGTGAGCGTTTCGCTAATTAAAATCTCTCCAAGAATGCCAAAGCACCTAGTGAACTTTCACAGATGTGCGTGACTTGGGATGTGATTTTCATGTCTATTTTGCAAACAAACAACCAAACATGTACATATATAGCTGAACATGCAAGGATTAAGCTGTTTATTCTTACTGAAAAGTGGGAGTGTGAATGACATTTTCTAACGCCCAGTGTAAAACATAAAATGCAGGATATTGGATGGGGTGAGGGTCTTATGAATATATCCCAGAATCTTTTTTGGAATAAAATGTTTTCTTTTCCTACTTTGCCATTACATGGCTGCTTTCTCAGTGGCTCACCTGGTAATTTCTGCCTCTAAAGAAATTAGCCAAGACAATGCCAGTAATGTCAAGGGTTAAAAGTGGCTTTGGGAAGGATAGTGCTTTTCATAGATTGCTCTATGATGCGGATTGTACAGCAGATTAACCATTAGGTTTATGAAGCTGGGAAAATTTCAGATTACTTCTTTTAAAGCATACCCATGCTCTCAGGATTTAATAAGACCAAATGCAGAGGTCTTCCAGCTGAATCAGATTTGTTCATATACTGAAATCAGTCAAGTATCACACATAGCTAGCCAGTATATGGCTGCCTAGGATTCACTGGAGGTTATGTTATAGAGAAATTAAAAGATTATAACTAAATGCATCTAAAAAGCAAAATCTTCATTAGTATTAATGTGGAATTCTTCTCAMTACTTAACTGAAATAAATATGTAAATGGTACAGTAGAGAATTCTCACCATGCTACATCAACAAAGTTACAGACTTTTAAGTGCAACAGGAATCTCCTGTGCTTTCCTTGCTTTTTCTTACCGTTTGGGCAGTGCCTAAGGGAAGGTTCAGAAGTGTGAAGCAATGATTCCAAGAGCATGTTAAGACTCCTTTGTACAGCTCTTTAATTTATCACTCTTAAAGAAATACTTCTGAAGTGCTGGACTTCAGAAGAAGAGAAATAGCACTATCCTGAGTAAACTCTCAGCATGTCAACTGCTTTGATAGGGCAAGAATGAATTTGAATGAATTCTTACAAGAGTTACATAAAGGAAGAAAGACTGAGCGGACACATGCAAAACAAGCAGGGAGGAAATATTACTGCACCTTCAGGAGAAACTTCAGAACTTCAGGAGCTGAAGTTTCTGATCTTTTCATGTGGTAAACACATTAGCCCAAAATGAAGTTTTTTATCAGCCCCAAAYGCCCTTTTCTAAACTGTCTTCTAAGTACCAGTGCATTTGCATAATTTGCGTGTTCATATTTGTGGATGACCGGGGAAGCATTGTAGATAGTCTAGTCAAAACAGGCAGTAATAATAAAAAACAAAATGCAGAAGAGGTCTGCAGAGGTGAGGAGGTGAAGTAACTAGAACACTTACTGTTCTGCATAGGGATGTCCATGGTTCCAAGTAGCTGCTGAGACACAGAAAATGTGGGATGARCTTTATTAGTCCAGACAAGTAGTTTAATGAAAGCTTATATTGATAGCCTTTTTTTCATAATTGAAGAAAAAGAGAGACTTACGAGTCTCATTTCTTCAGAAGAACACTTTCCTGCGTTACTCCTAGCCTACCACACAGCTGCAAAAAGGCAGCAGCTAGAACATGTTCAGGTTCGTGATGAAGCAGCTTCTGGTCAGGAACAGAGACTTTGGGGGAAGTAATTCAGAATGGGTAAGAAGGAAGCTCTGGAGAATCAGATACTGGCTCCAGGCAGTCTGTCTGACCATTTAGAAGGAAAATGTCCAAAAAACGTTTTCAGTAGCCAGCAAAGTCAGTGGAGAAAGAGATGCTACCTATTAGAAGATTGGCACAGAGATGCCCTGAATGGGCAGCTGTTATCTGTTAATTAGCTTTATTTATTTTATTTATTTTATTTATTTTATTTATTTTATTTATTTTTTTTTTGCCAGCTATTTATATTAACTTGCACACTCAAACACAGCTTGGGGGAAGGAGATCTTCGAGGAAACATGTTCAGCCTGTAAAGTCTTCATTGCCCATTCTTCTTCCTTCACTCTAAACTGCTTTTCCCTCTTCCTTTTCACCCAGCATTCCATGTGAAGACGATGGGGCCAAATTCTTCTCAGTGGTAGCCAGTGACAGAACAAGTGGTAGTGGGATAAATTGAAACACAGGAAGTTTCATCTTTGTACGAGGAAGAACTTCTTTCCAGCAAGGGTGACAGAGCCCTGGAACAGGCTGCCCAGGAAGGTTGTGGAATCTCCTTCCCTGGAAATCTTCCAAACCCGCCTGGATGCCGCCCTGTGCCCCGTGCTCCGGGTGTCCCTGCTGGAGCAGGGGGGTTGGATTAGATGATCTCTAGAGGTCCCTTCTAACCTTAAGCGTTCTGTGATTTCTCTTTTTCCCCACGCATCTGCCCAAGGGCAAGGCCACACATGAATGGCTCCCTTTTCTTCTTTGGACTTCTCTCTTTCTCCTGCTTTTCCTATAGTCAGCTACCCACTACCTAAGAACCTAGAAATAGTGTCAGGGAACAGCAAGAGCAGGGCTGCTGCAGGACAAGCCAGGAGTCCAGGATAACCCCAGCAGAAGTGATACCCTGTCCCCCAGCTAGGACAGGGCTCCACAGTACCCAGAGGTCAGGTGGTGACAGTGTCATTCAACAGCCCCAGAGAGAAAGCGACATAACAAGCTTGCTGCAGGTGTCATCTAGGGAACGCAACCAGGACGGCAGGACATAGATCTAGAGGCAAAGCTACAGCCCAGGTCCAAGGTTCATCCCAGAGGCAGGGATGGACACAAGACTGCATATAATATAGGTTCAGCATCCTCGCAGGAAAATCAGTAGKCCTGGACAGCAAGGCCATGCACTAGTCTAACTCCAGTGCCTGAGCTTAAATGGGACTCCTGGGCCCATGGACAGGGCTCATGGTGRGGGCCCCAGGTAGCACTGGTCAGAGCCTTGGTTTCAGAGGAATTTTCTGCTCATTTCTGCTTAATGAAGAAGCTGATGGTTTTCTGTATCCATTGTGAGCCTCTGAGATGAGGCACAGTTACACAGGACTGTGAAGGACCTTCAAGGCCTTCATAGATGGTCCTCAACAGAAGTCAAGAACCATCTTGAAACTAGTGAGAAATATCCCCCACATTTCTCCCCTGAAAAGTCTGTTCAGTCACCTCATTGATCTAATGATTAAATAGCTTGGAAGGCCCTGCTCACATTRATTTTCTTAAATGGTCTGAAGTCTGTGGATACTTGTGCAGGGGCACCCACTTGCTCCTGACGCCGGCAGGGAGCACAGTCAGTTGGACCCAGCATTACAAATTCTCGTGGTCTTTTCTGATTTGAGTCAGTCACTGCTGTGCGTGCCGTGCTGTGGCTGCCCCAAAAGATGCTCGAGTGATCCCGCACAGGGCAGAGCCTGAGCTTCATGAAGTGGACTGAACAGTCAGGTTATAATGTCATAGCCACATTATGTACAGAACACATAACAACTTCTTGTGAGTCACAGCTTCATTCTCAGCAGGATGGGAGGCCAAAAGTGCGCGGGATTTTTTAACACTCAGTAACAAGTAGGAAACTTAAGGAAGTGTAACAACCAACATTTTTTTTTTTTTATTAGAGGGACAATGACCAAGCCATTCAGGAAGAATTAATTTTCAGGATTTGGCTACAGACGAGCTCTGCAATTTCATTGCCTTCYCCATACCCAGCAGTGTTTCACACGTTTTGGGGAGACTTCAACGGATGGGGTCAATCCTCCAGTCTCTGAAGCTGGGTTCCCTCTAGTGGCATTAGCAGGAGCATCAATTCTGTGTTATTGACTGATCTTGGTCCGTAGTAGGGGCAGGGAGAAAGAGGACACTGCAGGATGCTACCAACTCACATCAGGAAACACTGACTTGTCTTTATCTGGCTAGTAGCCTAGGATTTTTGTATTCCACAGGTTCTTTAATTTTTCTATCAGCTGTTCAAGCATTGCATTGATTTTAGTTGTCTCTTTAATGAGGTAGTTCCTGCAGGGGACAAGAACGCGTGTGGTAAGATACATAAATATGCAAAATATACAAATAAAGTGTTATCTCTGTTTACAGTAGTTATCAAGGTACCTTTCTTTCACACTGCCTGTCAGTTCAAAGCTTCTCAGCAGTCCTTCAGGTGCTTTCCTCAGAAAGCAGGAACAGGCAATCTGTATTTGCCGTGAGTTATATGAAAGTGCATCTCTTGGGCTATCGTGTTTCTCCTTTTGGGAGGAGAGCAGCTCTTTTTCCCTTTCTTGAAGGAATACAAATTTACAGCCAGAGCTAGTTCTGTGGCTTGGGCTCAGTAATACCGGCGTTTCCTGGTATGTACTCAGTACTCGGCCCCTCACAAGCAGATCTACAGCACCTGCACAGCCCCTAGCCCTCACTCCTTGTGTACGAAGAGATGTCCACAATCACACAAGCACTACCGTGTTCAACATGCGTCCCTGGAAGGCACTGCACCTCCATGTGAAATCCTCTCACCCTCACAAGAGCCCCTGCCCATTGCATTCACAACAGGCTTCATTCACCTTTTCATTGCTCTCCTCAGGGATTTACTGGCTTAATCTGTACTTCCTCACAYTCCTCCCTCACCTTCCCCATCTGTGGCTATCACAACAGCGGCACAGAAAACCTTTCCATACCTGGTACCAACAATTGCTGGAGTCTGGGCGACATTCTCCAAGAACTGACCGGCTCTAGGGGACATCTTGTTCACGGTTTCATAGACGGCAGCGAAAAACGAATCGGGGAGGACCATCCAGTCACGGCGGTTATCCCTCTCAAAGATGGACTTTGAGTGCACTTCTGAGAAGGAGAAAGCAAAAACCATGAGGTTTCCCCAGTCACTCATCTCTCAGAAGTTTGCCTGGAGGTGCAATGGGAAGAGACTAGAACTTCTTCACAGATTCAAAGCCCCTTCCTCCCCTCCCATTTCCTCTGCACCCAAGATCACCTCATCTCTCATACTCAGGTACCTAGGTCCTAGGGTTTACCTGGCCGAGTATTTGCACTAGCTATGGAAGACTTTCATGCAAGGCCCTACCAGTTGGATTCACACTCGCTAGCACTGTAAATTCATGGTCTTGGGCTGTGCTGTGTTACTGGGCTTCAGTGCATTGGGCTTTATGGTTGGGAGAAACTTCCTCTCAGTTCTCTTGCTCAAGGCTCTGCTCTCTTGTAAAGCAGAGCCTTGCCCCAGCCAGGCAGAAAGGCTTTTCCGACTTACCTGGGAAAGTGGTGCCAAGGAGTAGAATGAGAGCTAGTACCAATACTCTGGACTGCAGCATGGTTTGCAGTATCAGTTCAGCCCTGTGTATAAAAGACCATCTGGAATCACCATATAAGGGTATATTATCAGAGAAATAAAGCAAGAAAAGATCATGGTGCATTTCCTCTTCAGAAGTGACAAAAAGATAGTTAAAATGAGAGTCTCTTGATTTGTATAAGAATAAATATCCACAATGAATGATGCCTTTCAGAGCTCCATAAAATATATTAACTTCCTTTATACAAGATCTAACCCCYTTTTTTCTTCATATGAACACATCACTAAAACTGGCATAGGTTAGAACACACGTACAAGTGAAAAATACACATTATGGGATTTTTKTTTGATTGATTGATTCTTTTGTTAATTGACTTGAAGAATCTTGTTCTGATCAGTGCAGCACTTAAGATGCTCTTCTTAATGATTTGATGAGCCGAGTATTTGGTCTCCCTATAGTTGAGAAATGCCAGTGAGATTCTCTCATCATTTTTGCATCATGATTAGCAGTTATTAACWTACACAGAACACGTTCTCAAAAAGGGAATAAATGCAATCTTTATCCTCACCTACCTTTGTCTAYTCTAAAAGCCAAAGTTAAAGAACTCTCCAAGAGTCAGTATTTGGTAATTGAAAAGCATGACATAATATTTAAATAAGCTTTTCAAATGCTGTACATTTAAAAAGGCATTTAGAAGTTAAATTTGATTTATGCCCAAAGTAAAGGAGTGTGTCACTTGGGCAACATGAACAAAATAACGCAGTGCTAGGAACTGCMTGGAACAAAGACTGTGAGTTGGTTACACATGACTTTGCTAGCATCTGTGCCAGTCAGCTGCTAGTCAGTGGTCCTTATTATTCTACAATAAGGCAGTTTCCATTCTTATTAATTTCCAGTTATACACAGATTTGCTCCAAAAGCTATTGCTCYATCTTCACTTAGCCATTTGCTGATCAGCAGCAGTCGCTCAGTTATCATCCCTCCTTACTTTTTAAACCCAGAACCAGTACCTTCCTCCGTAGATGCAAGTTATAAATTGGCTTTCAGAGAGCATGAAGATCTTACCTGCTTTAAAACCTGTACACTCAACATGGACCAGTTTGGAAGAAGTTAATGTATCTTGCAGAACTGAAACTCTCTAAAACCTGTCATGGGCTTGGCCCTCCTATATGTCATATGGAGCATCCAGCACTTGACCTCAGTCCAGGTTACTCAGGTGCTCCCACCCTCCTCCATTTCAGCGTTATTCCTAGCTAGGGAGCCTGAGAAGGATTCACACTTGGTCTTGCAAGAAAAGTGGGACAAAATAGGGAGAAAACCTCCAAGAAAAGTAGGACAAAATAAGGGGAAAACCTCCATTCATTTCCATATGGTCTCGCTATGCCAGTCGTAAAGTCAACACCACCAAGAACAGAGAGTTCAGCTCTTACCTGTCCTGCTTCCTCTCTGTCTTGCAGGCAGAAGCCGAGCTAGATGCTCATCTGAGGCGCTGGCATTTATGCAAAGCTAATATAGAGATAGCAAGGGGTCAAAGGTCTTATTTTGTTTCCCCATTTGCTCTTTGGTAAGTAGATTCATCTCACTAGGATGGGCAAGAAGTTATGCAGGACTCTGAACCCACTATTGGGATTTGGTAATGGAGGGCAGCCTGACCTGAACCTAAGAGACATAGAAGGCGGCTTCTGGGTCACTGAGTCCCCTGCTTTTGCTGGCCACTGTGTCATAGAGACCCCTTTCATAAGCTGACCAAATTCCACATGAGCAGTAGCTGGCCGAGTTCTCCTCCCGCCATTCCTGTGGAAAGGCCTGTCCTGTATCTTACCAGCTCTGATGGTTGGACTTACTTATGTCTGTTACATTCCTTTAGATTTTGCTCTTGCTTTCCAAAAAACACTTTAGCAAAATGGTACATGTGGGTAAGTGYACATACACAATCCCCTCTCAGATTTTTTCTTTTTCCATGTCCAACACTTTCTAYGCAGGCTCATGAGATGTGGGTACACCTGGACTAGCTGTCGAAACTTGCAGGGACAGGATAACTTCTCAGCAGGCTCCTCAGAGAACTGGACCTAACCAGAAAGTGGCTGCAGGGCCGCTAAAGGTCACTTGCTTCCTATAGCTTGAATTTCAGCTGCCCACTGGGTCATCCCTCAAGTCAACCATCTGTATTTGGCACGTATACGGCACATGGAGCAGGAGAGGGAGAGACAGAAAGGCTGCAACACTGTGCTACAAGCAGCATTAGCTTAGGGAAAAGGGGAAGCTCTGAGGTATAATGAGACCCAACAGACTTCTGTTCTTCTGCTCGTCACAGTGACTCATTCATTAGGCAACCTCCTTGTGAAGAGCTCAACCAGCGTTTTCATTTATCAACCAAACGAGATTTCTAGGTGATTTTTCTTCTCAAGTTGCTCCAAGTAGTACAGAACTAAATGGTAACCATTCTCATGCAGCAGACACGGAAGCCAAGTCCACAATTGCTTCAGTGACACAACTGAGGTCATCTTATTAAGGATGATTGCTAGTGCTTTCCCAGACATTTTCCCATTCTTCCAGTGAACTATTTGTTATCTGTTTATGAACACACACTTACTCACCCACAAAAGGAAAAAGCTCTCCAAAATATAAAAAATATCCCCTCTCACAAAAAAAAAAATCCATTTTTTCTCCAAAAACACCAACAAAATCTCTAATAAGGTGAATTCCAAAAGAAAGCAGAGAATTTTCAATTCCACTAGTGAAGCAAGCACTAAAAAGCAATTTATCGCCTAGGAAGAACACAGAGGAAAACGGCTTAAAAGTTCTCATGTTTTTTAATTACACATTTGACAATCATTTAAGAAAATCTACACATTTGCCATCTGCTTTTACAGCTGGAATAACATTTGGAATACCAGTAGAAGTCACACTATAGGCATTACACTTAACAGAAATAGCAAGAATCAGTCATTACTTGTGGGTGTTCATTTAATATAATCTCAAATGTCATCTCTCTCCTACKTCAGGAGCGCAACCTAAAGTCTCTCACCCTACTAAGTGGTGCTTTAAACTGATGGGCTGCAGGAGGTAGTAACAGAGAGGGGACTTAGCTACCCTTATGTGCAGTACCTACTGCTGAAGAGCTTTGCATTGTGGTTGCTGGCAGCACAAGGTGACTTCCCAGTTAGCCTAACTTTAGCTAGGGCTCAAGTTAGTGTATCGTGAACCCAATCCCAGAGATAGCAAGTGGGCTCTTCAGCACTTTCTCCTGCCAAGCAGGCAATTGCCAAGAGCAGATCGATGATTACACAAGCAGCAGCCCTTGCCCTCCATTCCTGGAATGGCATTCTAGAATGGCAGGGTGCTCTGCAAATAAGCAAGGAAGCCAGATAATGCAAGTCCTTTCTTAATCAAAGGAAAATGACATGATTTTTTATCTCTTTTAYGAATCTCTGGTGGGATGCAGCTGCCAGGAGCAGCATGGGCATCCTTATCTGCCCCACATGTCATGGCCCCTTATTCATTACACTCCTACTTTAATTAAGGTAGTCCCAAATGTTATCAAGGCACTTTTAATGTCAATGGTACAGAAAAAAATTCATTCTTGAGGTAAGATATGTTCCTTCAATTGCATGAACAACAGAAGTCCAGAACGGCAATAACTGCCAAACGTGACACGTACTCTAGTTCTCTCACCACACGTGGGCTGACAGGTGAACATCAGCTCTTTGCAGGGGCTGAAAATTAACCACAAATACATTAGAGCACAGAAAGAGCGAGGCCGCTACACTACTTCCTACTGTGTTTTTCTTTTCAGTGTGTAGTATTGGAGCTGTCTGATTCTCTCTCTGCCTTTTTGAAAGTCAATAGACCCTGTAATCTTCCTGGAGGAAAAAGTCCATGTAGTCATGTGCAGCGCTGTCAAATGGCTTTCATTTGCAGYCCATTAAAAAGAGAAACAAGCATTCAAAGTATAACCTATTTTCTTCCCACTTTTCTGTCTGCTTGCAGTCATGGAGCATGCATGTCAAAATTTCCTTTTTAATTATTTCACATCCCACCAACTGATATTTTATGAACCACAGTGGTCTGTGGAGCAGATTTTAGTGCATCTTGTACCATTTCTGATTCCCTGCTGGATGACCTAATCTACTTCTGTCTGCAAGTTAAGAAGCTGCAGAATTAAGCCTGAGATACAATCAGTTTTCCACGGAGTTCTGTTTGATGTTTCTGTAAATACGAACAAAGTGACTGAAGAGGAGCTCAAGCATGGTAATGATAAAGCTCTTCAAACTTCAGATAGCATATATTTTGCAAATTTACACAATCTACAGTCAGCCACCCTAGCTCAATTACAGGGACAAGAGCAAGGAATAAGATCCTGTACAGGATTTGGATCAAAAAGTTTGGATCTGCAGTTAGTTTGCTCATACCACAGCAGCAAACTTTAACAGCTGCTGCTGTTACACAAAGTCATTTGGGTTTTCTTGCAGCGTGCATGAAGGGGGCAGCTCTTGGGAAAATTTGCTGGACAAATGTTGGGTTATACACATTTATACGTGAAAGTGAGTAAACTCTCTTCTGTGCTACCATCTTGGGATCTCAGGTGGTGTCAGTAGACTCTGCCCTTGATGGAGAGAGGGGAAGTCCTTCCTGCAATGGACATTTGAGTAAGRCTGAGCTGACAGGAAGCAGAGGTTTTCCTGCATAGATATATGGGAAGGAAAGGAGAGACTCAAATTTCAAGCCATTAATTCAGCTTCCAAGAATCACTAATTCAGCTTTCAATCTTCCAGACCCTGGGTAACTACTAGTAGCTGGCAAAAGGCTATTCTAAAGTCAGAACAAGAGAACAGTTTTGGAAGAAAAAGCCCCATGTTTTCTATCACTATGGTCACCACAAACTCCTCTGAAATTAAAAAAAAAAAAGAATCCAATCATAAAACAAGGGATGCATAAAACCCTCAGAACATTAAGTCCCATCACCAGCATGTCATTAAAAAAGAAGAAAAACGATTCACAGCCAGTGAGCTCAGCAGTCAGGTTCAAGACTGATACTGGCTTTGCAAGTTCTGCAAACACACTTACTTCCCCACACAGCAAGCATAACTCATGGGTCGGTTCACGTGGTTCACAGCTTGGGTCTAGGGCAGTCGAAGCCTGAGCTTGTCACAGGCTGCCCTCCCTGAATTCCAACTTTGGAGTTGCTCTTGCGGCTTGGAAGGATCCATTTAATTCCTTTTTGGGCTAGCCAACACCTGCTGTACAACACTCCCTGCGCCTCCGCTTCTGAAACAACCCTATGGGAGGGACGAGCAAGTCCTCCTACGCTCGCTCTGTACACCGAAATCAGCACTACCAAGCAAAGAACTGCAGGAAAGTGAGTGCTCCCCATCCCGGCCTTTAGTTGACCAGCAACAGTTTCAGGCATCCAGCTGGAAGTATTCAATCGATGCAAGAAATTTTCCGTCATTGTCGAAAGAAAAGAATAAGGGAGGTGGCCAAAATGAAAGCATCTCCAAGGCAGTCTTCCAAGGGAAAGCSTAAGCACATCATCACCTGGGACATCAACGAAGACTAGAAAGTGTCCCATCTGGTCCCATCTAGGAAATAAGCCAGGTAGCGTAACAGTTGACCTTGGCTAATGAGTAGTTCCTCTGTGTTAAAAAGATCCTCACAAGATGCTCCAGAAGCTCCTCAGAAACCACTGAGCCTCACGAATCCAAGAACTGCATTTGGAAAGCCAGTTTCCTGTAGAGAGAGCCAGTATCTAARGATGTAGGGAACATCTCTGCTTTTCCACCACATTCTCATGGAAACAGTAGATGAATCGCATCAAAGGAAAATGGCAAGTTGTTCTCCTTAGCAGCTGTTCTTGGAGCACAGATAAATTCTGTTCTAATTGCAAAGTAACAGATAAGAAAATCTGTCTACAGCTCAGGCGCACAACACATTTAGAGTTGGTATTACTGTTAGGGCAGCAGTAAAAGTGACTGTAAGACTTCTCACAGAGCCTTCTGCCATATCGTGTGTACACAATAGATGGCACAGATTGCAAAGGGAGAGCATAAAATGCATACAAAAGAGTGCATGGCTCAGGAAATAAATATCCATCAAACTCATGCTTCTTGAGTTACAGGAAATTCTGGTCCACAAGACCAGGTACAGTAGTCATATCTTGCTCAGGCCCTGTGAGGGCAGCCAAATCTTGTTAAATTCAGCCCCTTAAATTTACAAAGAAAGGCAATGCTGGCTAAAGGCGAGCACAAGCCCCCTAACCACAGGTGGCTCAAGGTACTGCACTCAGTGACAGATAGGTGAGTTGGCAATTTTCAGATGTGCTCGTGAGCTCTTTTTAAGGCAGTGAGAGATGCATCTAACACTGCTGCTTCTGCCTGGGAGACAGGCCTCCAAGSTGAACAGAAGCAACTGTCCCTTACGCCAAGCAGCAAGGCAGAAGCAGCAAATCCTGCCTACTCTGAAGCACAGCAGAGCACTCTGGAAAGCTCTGTCTCACTACATCTCACTCCCAGGAGGCCAGAGGGCCAGGCCAGATGACTGCCAGAGGTTTCGTCCAACCCAAATTAATGTACTGCTCCGTGATTAGACAACTCTGAGTCCCTGAGCCATTTACCAGTGAGCAGTGTGTGAAGGATCTTCTACGGGCTGGGCTCCCTGCCATGCCAGAGCACCCAAAAAGGACAACTACTTCCTTTATTTAAAGGTTGGGAATATAACCTTTTGTTCAATGCCACTAGAACTACTTCATTTCCAACAGGCTGTTTTCAACAGGCCACAGCCCAGTGCAAACCTAAGTTTGCAGATCAAAACAGCAGTAAGAATGCATTAGGTATTGCTTTCATGGGCACTAAACATAGATTCCTGAGAGTTACAAGTTTCATGGGAAGAAACTGAGTTTTTGCTTGTTGCCTGTCCAATCAAAAGGAGCCATCCCAGCCTACAGGGTGGGACAGTTAAGAGGAGTTTAGTGGAAATCTCAGGTCTTGGAGCATCGACATTAAATGACTATGCTTCTTCCACTGCGGGAACTTGCTCGCTCCTGCAAGAGAAAATAAAGAGATTCAGGAACATGGAAGGATGCATAGAAATCATAAGTCTACCTGCCTGCTCTCATCCCCATAGCAAAACCATTCCAATGTACATCTCAGCTGGGAATGGAATTGTGTTTCCTTCCAAAACTCAGAGGGGAGATTGGTAATCTGCAAAATACAACTCTTTGAGAAGAGTTTCACCAAGAAAAATTCTGTGTGTATGGGATATGAACACACTTTAAAAAATTATTTTTTTTTTATACCCAAAGAAGGCATGCTAGGTAATTTGACAACTAGCTTTTGGATATGAAGCTTCTCAAGTAGCCAAGTAGCTTCTCAACTTGGATTGCTACTTCATATTTAGCCCCAGTGTAAATTGAAATAAGGTGAGTTGAGAAAACTAGTGGTTCATTGCCACATGTCCAATGCACGTCCAATGATCCGGAGCCCCAGCTCATTCTCTTCCATCCTAGCCTGGAGGATCACATGTTTTTTGTYACTATAGCCACTCATGATCTTAAAGTCCAATGCAGGTAGCTTTAGGCATCTTACCTGGAAGCTTTTCCATACAAACCACGTTAGAAACACCACCAAGACACTACAAACATTAAGCAGTGGAGACTGCTTACAGAGTTATGCAGATATTAAAAGAAATCAGAAGCAGACCAAAACCGGAGAGGATTGTAAAGGGGTTCTCAGTAGTGCTGCCTTCTCTGGACATGCTCCTCCCCAAGCAATATCGGGAGAGCAGCTTTGCTAACATGAGTGCATAGAGGCTTTAAGTAGGGACTGGAGGGTGTAGGGAGAAGGGAGCTACTTGATTTGGCTGCTCGCTTTGCCCCTCAACATACTACAGCAATGCAACATGTGTCTGAAGGGAGGGAACTCCACAGCCTCTTGGTAAGCAAGCTGCACATGGCATCCAGCACTCCTTGCCCTCGTGTGCAAAGGCAGCAGGGTGCAAGGAGCACCAAGCAACCGCCCACAGTGCCGAGGAACCCGCTGCMGCCTCGAGAGCGCCTAACTTACGGAGCGCGGCTCCGCGCCGTCTCGGTGCTTGCCGTCCCGGTCCGGGAGGACTTCTAGCGAGCGGTAACTGGGCGGTTTGTCCTCGGGCCGCTCCCGGGACCGGCGGTGCCGCTTGCGGTTTGCCGCCGGGACTCGGACCTGCTCTTCAGAGGAGCTCCACGAGCCTCGCCGGGATGGTGGCGAGTAGCTGCGCGGCCGGTGGCCGGAGCCCTCGGCCCTCCTCGCGTGGTGCTGGTAGTCTCGCCGCCCCGCGGGCGGCTCTCGCGGCTCCCGCCGCTGGCCGGAGCGCTCCTTGCTCTCTTCTGGGTAGAAACTGCTGCTGCTGCTGCTGCTCTTGGCCCTGTCGGCGTGGCGCACGGGTGACACATCCTGCCTGGGGCGCCAGGGCCGGCCGTCGTAGCCCTGCCTCGCTGCGCGTTCCTCCTGCTGCCTGGCCCAGGGCTCGCGGCCGCGGCTGGAGTGGAAATCCTGGTCAGGGTGCCGAGGCCACGGCCGGGGCTCCCTCTGCTTCTCCGCCGGGGAGTCCCAGGGCCGCGGCGTGTGGGCATCTCTGTGCGGGCGGGAGGAGTTGCTGCTGCTGTGCACGGAGGGGACAGGGTCGACGTGAGGCGGCAGTCGCGGCTCCCGGTGATCCGCAATGTCGGAGCCCAGGGAGGAGAGCAGGCTTGCGTGCGGCACGGCCTGCCGCTGGTGGGAGGACAGGTTAAGGTTCTGGATTTCGGACTCCAGGTAGTCCAAGACACCCTTGTTAGAAAAAAGCTGGCCTTGTGGCTGCACCAGTGGAATGCTGCTATGCAGAGACACGTCTGAGGAGGAGAGCACAGGACAACGCGGCACGTCAAGGCAAAACAAGGAAGAAAAGGCCTCTCTGCACAGGCAATCCTGGCTGAAAACCTCCCAGGCATCTCTGCTCCTCCTCTTCCTCACTGCAAACAGGCCTCTGCAAGGGCCATGCAAGTCTCAAGCACCATAGGCTGCGCATCCWCACGGCACAGGGTAAGGGACAATCATAGTAACTGGTAAACTGCAGCACTATCTGTGTCTGAGCTACACCCACATAAGAAATCGGTCACCCAGCACACCAGGAAATCCAGCTGATATGCTTAGAAAGAGGATTTTTTTTCTCCCTACAGCACTAATGCTAAATTTCAATTAAAAAAAAAATCAGAACTTTCATAGTGTTCTGCTTTCCTGTTACATCTTGTTGAAATGGAAGCAATATGAGGCAATACTACAAAAAGAAGAAACTTTTGTATATGTAAATGCACACACATATCTATGTACAGATTAAGCAGCAAATGACAAATTTTCTTCAGTAGGAAGATGGTGTAGCACTGGCAAAAGTACACAAAGAGGTCATGGCATCTCTGTCCACAGAGATTTGCAAAACTCATCAGGCAAAGCACTGTCTGGCATGATCTAAGTGGGTGATAGTCCTGCTTTGAGCAAGAGCTAAGACTCGATGGCCTTAGACATCCCTTCTACCCAACACTTGTACGGTTTCAAAACTGACCTTAAATAAATTTAGTGGAAACTTAAGCATGAATGACTCGATAACTATGAAAGCACAAACTAAAAAGACCTCCCAAAGAACTTTGTTTTCTCCTAGTGACCCATTTAAGTGTCTTAAATCATCATGGCTCAGTCACCACATCTTCCTAAAGAGAACTGGTGCCCTGGGTGGAAAAAACAGTAATTTTATCGAATTAACCAGCAGGCTGAAAAAGTGTGTGCTCAAACAGTGTGTGCTCAAACACCTTGGATCTAGCATTCAAGATGTTTGCAAACTATTTCTTCAAACAACCAGACACAGTATAAATCTGTGACTACTAGCTAGTGACAGAAAGATAATTTCAGATGGAAATTCATTACAAAAATATTTGGGAAGTCATTATGTTCATTTTCCCTACTTTTCTTGCTCAATTTTCCCTACTTTTTCTTTGTTTGATAATGCTTATTTCTCTGGAACTTTAGATACTCCATCTTCCCTCCTCCAGTAAAGTCACATATAAATGATACTAATGTAACCAAAATAACTAATTTTGGGGAGAAATATCTGGAAAAATCCTTCTTGGTTCAGTAACGAGCCTTTCATTCTTCACTGCATGCAGGACAGAGCTGTTGCACAGAAGGCCATTTGCCCTCAAACACATGAAGACTAGACATTTGATAACAAGTCAAACAAATTGCACTTCACTTGTCATATCAACTTTGGCTCTAAGGAGTTGACCGTGACCAGTAGAGCAGAGCAAAGCGACAGGATCCTCCTCTACTACAGGACGCAAGATAAGCTGGGTATATTTACCCTGCAGTCACTGGTGCAGCACAAATACACCCCACGGCATTAGACCAATTTCCCCAGCACCGAGACTAGGAAGGTCCACCTAGGTGGATCTAAAACATACTGCTGATACAACAGAGCCAGCACTTCTGTGGTCTGGTGCTCGCTGCTTTTTGCTTTCGTGGTAGAGAGGCCGAAGCCTCACTGCTGAGCCCCTGTGAGAAGCGACCAGTTTCTCATCCTGATTTCCCTCCRAAACAATGCCCATGGTCTCACCTCGTTGCAGCAGAGGGTTCAGCTTGTAAGAAGAAAGTTGGGAATTCCCATCACCACCTTTGTAGATCATGTTAGGTGACATCCAGGGTGCCAGTGCACGAGCCTGCTTCATGAAGTGATGCCGTTCCAGTGCTGCAAAAGAAGAATGCTCACAGCAGCTCTCCCCGCAGCACAGCCTGCAGCACACGTGCAGCACCGTTTTGCTCGATACATTGCATGTTTGGTGTGATCACTTATTGGAAAACCACAGAATGAACAGCTCTCCACCCCACAGAGCAAGGGAGAGCTGCACTGCTTCACAGGGATATCTAAAACAGAAGGGCTAGTGCCAGACAGTCAGGTTACAGCTACAGCAACTGGGATCTACTAGCACTAGGATGAAGTTCATAGCTTATATCCAAATGGAAGACTTAGTTCCACCTGTCCACCTGCCCCATCATTATGAGTACAGCTGTGGAAAGGTGGGAAATAATATCTTACACAGCAAGATATACTACATTGCTTTCTCCCTCTTAAAACTCTGCCAGCTCTCCATCGGAGCTTGCATTTGGCTTTAATTTACAATTAAACAAGACCTTTTCCGTGCCTTTCATGAAAACTCTGTTCAGACCCTGTTTTCCACATCAGTTAAAACCTTTTCCTCCCCATAGCACAAATAAAGCAGTCAGAGATGCACTGTCCAGCTTCTCCCTTGCCAGTSCTTCACCCACTCTTGCTGTCTCTTTCTACTTATCTCTAAATGAGTGCTAAAATTAAATCCCTTAGGATAGCATGACCAAACAGGTGAACAAACTAAAATTCCTCTTCTCAACAGCGATGTCCTGTGGACCAAGGGAGCAAACCCAATGGAAATTCCTCTCTCACCGTTTTCCTGCATCGTAAGCTTCAGATTCCTACTGACAGGGCCAGGCTCAAAGCCCACTTCCCTGTTTTGCAACTCTTCCAACTCACATCCTCTTCAGAGACATCTCTGCAAAATTATCCCTCACTGCTGCTTCCTTTTGGGGAATATCTAAAAGCATCACCTTACTGACACTCCTTCTATCACAGATGACCAACACTTAAGTTTAGAAACAAGTAAGTTGTGAAAGCCCCAGATCTTACAAAACCTGGCTGTGCATGTCTGTCATTGCTGTGTGAAGCTTTTCTGCAACTCAGGTCTTTGCAAAGTTGCTCCTACTTGGCTTCTCTGGAGTCGGAAAACAGGCAGAGTTTCATTGCCATGTTTTCTTATGTAAGGCACTAACTATGTGGGGCTATATGTTTCAGGAGACACATAGTAACATCTGGTCTGAGATCTCTACCCATTGATAAATCTCGCTAAATTTGACTGTCAGAGTTAAAAGCTATGGGACTAGAAGCGACGAGTGGCAAACAGGTTGTCTGCATAGACCTTGCTGCTTCTGCATAAAGCCGGCTGCAGCTCAGCTCCAGTTAACTCTGTCTCCTGGGTTCGTCTGCAGCTTGCAGTCTTCACACTGTAGGCTTTGGGACTGAGCCATTCCCTTCATTTCATGGAGTGCTCCTGCTGTTCAGCAGATCACATACATGTCCTCCTTTAAGTGTTTCACTGAATTTACACAGGCCCAAACTTGCAGCAAAATGGGGAACGCCCTTGCATCCCAYCACATCCTTTGCTTTCCCCACAGTTCAGGCAGCTCCTGTTCATTCTGCATTCCAAACTTCCCTGCCCTCTCCTGTTTGGCTGCAAAAAGGCTGAAAATCAAAGTGGAAACTTCAGGGCTTTAATCCTAATACTGTGATTTTTCTTCAGAACACTGGGGCCTGAGGTACCACCTTTCACATGTTTTATGTAAAACTTGCCTTTTTAAAATTTTATTTATTTATCTTTAAGGGTTTTCCTTGAGCTCAGGTTTTACTCTTAAAAGGGGGAGAGATAAAAACAAAGGARAGGCCTTATTGATTCCTCTCCTGCTCCTCCCATTATCAGCTTGAGACCATCCTACCTGCAGGTTCTACCTGCTGAATGCACATCTCTAGCTTTTGAGGTCTTCCCCGAGGAGCAGAAGGCACTACAGGTTTCTTTCCTCAGGCTAAGAAGGCAGTCACTGGGGCCTAAATCTTCACATCTCTTTGACTCTCTGTTCTCTCTGCACAAATGCATATTTACCCCTGGACTTCCTACACACTCTCATCCTCCCTTCCTTCCCAGATAGCTCATCTCCCAGTTTGAACCTGACACACACAGCACTCAGCACTCTGGTTGGTTCCACATCTGCAAAGCAAAAGTATTAGATTTYTTTTTTCCAATTCTTGCATATATTGATTTGAAGAATGACAAATTCCTCACAGTTCCAAAATTCATAACTGTTACCAGCATTTGGGAGCATGCCTCACTCCCGGCCCCACGCATTCCCCACTATGAAAGTTYGCTCAGTGGACTTGCCATAGGGAAGGTAAATGGCTTGCCCCAAGGCATATATAATACTTCTGTAACACCAACTCTAAATYACGCAAACAATTTGCTACTTTTATTACTAGCCTCACAACTGCGTTAGCTAAWGACCTGACTTCTAAAACATCCAGTGCTACCCCTTCCCAGCGGCATCTTTGCCTGTACAGCAGATCTAGGCTACCCTCTAGTGGCCAGGAGCTGGGAAGGACTCAGCYACGTTCAGTTGGACTCAATAATTCTAACATTTAACTGAGGATTTCCACTGTTTGATTGGTTCTACACTGTTGTGTAGAATGGTTATTCCTCAGGACCTTTTTTTTTTTTTTTCCCCCCCTTTTAACGATACCACCTGTCTCAATCATCATCTGCTTTTTCAGATGCCTGTTCCTTTCCTGGAGGCCAAAAAAAAAAAAAAAAGGGTTAGAGGCAGGGAGAAGTGAAGATGCACTAGACCCAGGTAGGTAGATCCCTTGCAGTGGGGATAGAGGGAAGTAGCTGGGATGAAAATTACAGCCAGAGAATCCAGCAGCTAGTTAAGGAGGCTGGATTGGTTCGTAACTTCTCTCATGAACCGGGAGAGGTTTGGGGAACTCCACAAAAATCCTTTCTGCCTATCCTCAGTAGGAGGCAGGAAAGACAATAGTCTGGAGTATGCTGTTATCTCCCATAGCACAGAAAAACATCAACAAAGAGCTTCTGAATGCTCCTTTGCTGAGAACCAAGAAGCCTGGATATATGAGCCTTCTATCTCCATCAACTCTCTCTCTCTCTCCCTTAAAAAAACCTGATTTTTCTGCCAAGTTTTCACAGCCTCCTCACCACCAAGCATTTCACTTGAGAGAGCAAAAAGTCCCCAGAAACTGTTTTGTTTGTTTTTAGCAAATGAGATAAACAATCGGTTCTCCCTCCAAAATCGCTTAGCAAATTGAGCCTAAGTTTAACACCCTCAAAGCAGGTTCTTGCAGCTCTTGGAGAAGTGCACCAAGGTACACCACAAAACTCTTCGGAGGTAAAGGAGCACAAAACCCACAGTTCCTTGTTCAAAAATCCTCTCCTTGCAGCATCTAGGAAGGACTGAGTGATTTCAATGACACGTAAATGTTTTTGTTGCATTTGATTCCTGTCAGAGCATGTAAGATACAGAGATCTATTCCAGCTTGCCTTMCTCCAGAACTGCAAAGTTTCAGATACAAAAGCACAGAGGTTAAATAACCCTGATGGAATGAACTCAAGCACTATCCCTGGCTGGTCCTACTAACAGAACAAGCACCGACTTCAGAATCTTTATTTTATTCCTGAAAACTATGCATGACAATGTCCCTCTCGAAYCTCAAAAAGTCAGAAAGCATTTGCAGGGTTAGCCACCAAGACAGACCATCTTCCTCCTTTCTTTCTCCTCATCCTCCTCATCAAACAAAAAGTGAACAAAAAGTGAACAAACAAAAACACTTYGCTTGTAGAAGGAATAGATCTAAAACACCCACAAGACAAAGTCTCACRTTTTCCTCTCAGGTACCTCAAGACTAGGCCCGTTTGGAGAGCAGCAGATGATACTGAGGACAAGGCACTCACTTGCCTCCCTCTGATGCACAGACAAATGAACCACGGAAGGACTGGAAAGAAAACTGCCCAGATCTATTCACCCGAGGGGAGTGACCATGCCCTGCATAATGTGAGAGTGCGGCAGTAAGCTGTGAGAGGGGAGGAACTTCTGAAAGGAGTCCAGAGGARCAGGGTGGGATCCACATACTCTCGCTTCCCTTCTCTATTAGATTATATGAAGGCTACCCTGGCCAGAGAAAGGCCCAATTGTGATGCTGAAGCACAGGGAGTACCTGGAGCAGAGCAAGCTGTGCATCAGGCTTCTGCCTTGACAGAAGCCACGGCTGGACATGTGTGTGCTCACACCTCACCTTCCTCATTGCAGCAGCAGCGCCGGGGGCAGCAGGCGCACGGGACGTGGCAGCAGCAGTACTGGGGGCAGCACTGGCACCAGCACACTCCGATCAGCAGGATAAGGAGGAGCCCACCAAGGACGATAAGGAGTACGGTGAGCCAGTCTATGGGAGACACAGAGTAAAAGAGAGGAACCTGATGTACCAATAACCAGTAAGTTCTGAGCACCTCTCCACTCCAGGAGACATGTTGGGATGGGAGTAGAAGGACAAGGGACACCCAGGGCACTGATGTCAGGCACTTACGGAGAACAATTAGCTTAACTTCCTTGTCCGGGTCGCCTGATGTATCTCCCGGTGCTTCCACGGTGCAGTAGTACACGCCATGGTCCCACCACATGACCTCACTGATGGCAAGGTCTGCCCCTGTGGGAGAGGGACACACAGGTTAGGAGGCTCTCCAAGACCAGCGCCGCTTTCAGGCCCGTTCCTGCAGGCGACATYGTGCTGCGACTCCCCTCCTTCAACACACAGTCACCATCTTCAGGTGGAAACAACACAGTCCCATTTTAGTCTACAGAGAACTCCTGGTAAATGGTATTAACTGCTGATCACTTTTCTCTTTTGTGTCGCTGCCAAGCCATGTCACTTACAAGAAGGGCTAATCCTGTGTGGAATGGAGTACCAGAGGACTGCTGGATGATGGRTTTCAGCAGAGATCTGCTGCTGCTGACTACCAACGTTGGTTTCAGAGCACTGACAACCTCACTGGCAAGAAGGACACCTCRTTAGCTCCATGAAAAAACAGGAAACCACTGAAATACACCTCTTCCTAAGGTCACATTATATAGCCTTCCACACTTCCTTCTCCTCTTATCAAGAAATCATCTTGTTGTTTTGGCACAGGAAGAAGCTGAAGCAGAAGGGTTTCAAGAAACCACATCAAATAAAACAGAAATATAGCAAATATACAATAAAAGAAAGATGCCTAGGATGCTTACCACACTTAGGATGTAACACAAGCTCATACCTTAAAGCTATTTCAGGTTAGGCCACAGCACACTGAATACAGGTCACTGTACCACAAGGCACATCCTCAACTCTGCCTTAGCTTGCAGAGCCTTTAACACCCTCAAACCATGGAAAGGGCGCTTGGCCCCTCATGAATTGTGCTCCACTGCAACCTCACAGAATATGTAAGCTACAGGTGTTACTAGCCACACTCATGTTTCTCTTCACTAGACAGTTGCCGGCTCCGCTGCCCGCTGAGAATCCCTGTCACTTACGGTTCTGAATGGTGATCTTGCGCTGGCGGTAGTCGACGCCCAGCACAGGCTCATTCTGCCCATACTTCTGGATGACAACGCGTACCTGCCGCTGGTTGTCATTGCAGTCATTAGATGGATCCTGGCCAAGGGCTAACCCGGCCTGGTACGCTACAAACATCATCAAAACAGAGGCCAAAAGTTATTTCAAAGGTGCAGTTTCTACTCTCTTGTACACAGTAGAGAAACTCTTAAACATTACATGCATCTGTTTTCGTTTAGTAATAAGAATCACGGCTTCAAAAGCCACTTGAGTTCTTAAAAGCAAAGAGAGCCACAGAACTGACAGAGATTCTGAGAATGCAGAAGCTGCAGRCATGGCTCCTGCACTCACAACTGAAAGAATGACAGCAGAAAGAAGCTGGTGATGGTAAGCAGCAGGGTAGCTCCAGGGATGAAGACAAACAGCAAAGAAAAAAGTCACACAACTCTTTAGGACTACTGAAGGAATATAAAAAGTGTGTTTATTTCAACACCAAATCTCTAGACACATATGAAGTGCCATAGGAAATGTCTACTTTTCCCACCTGGACCCCACTGCATGTCGTCTGGTTCATAAAGACAGAAAAGAACCAACATGTGATTCCACCTCAGGATTCAACACTTCTTCAGCAGAACTCATGAAAGATTAGAGGCAATTATTGCCCATTACTCTTATGAGAGACCTGCCTGGTGGTTCAATGTTAGGTTGCACAGCATTTGTGATCTTAAATTTGGGGAGAAAATTCATACAAACACTCAACATTATCTTTAAGGGGCTTGCAGTGAAGAGGAGAGTGCAAAGCTCATTAAGGGCCTCCATGCTATATCTCAATGTATTGAACCACCATTTTAAACACTCCTCAAAGAAGGCCACACACACCGGAATGTCTGCACACAAGGTGCTACCACTTACAGGTCTTTCTCCCCTCCAGAATGCACGTGTTTCTATTTCCTAAAATCAGTAACACCTGGCCCCTAGCTTTAATCATGAGCCCCTCATGAAGCCATAAAAACCTCGTGTTGCAGGACCCTTGCTTCCTGCTTTGGCAGAATGTCGGGCTGCCAAATTTGACAGGTGCCAAACAGAAGAGCTCCCTGCCTTCCAAGTTGAGGCCAAAGAAGACAGATGGGCTGCTTCAGCCAGGATTTCTCTGATAAGGTGTCATAAAGCCTTGACGCTGCAAGGGAAATGAAAGCTGTGTCCTCTTTTTCTTGGAGCCCAGGCCTGCTTCACCTGGACAGAAAGAGGTCCAAAGCCTCTATTTCCCAGTTCCCTGCCTTCCCCATGCTGTCCTTTTAAGAGGAACTCCTTAGAGAACAAGCCCAACACTCACAGGTTGAGTAGTAGTCAAAGATGGGGTCCTTGCAGAAGGATTTGAAGCGCCAGGTCACCACGACGTCCTGCAGCTGCGCAGAGGTGCTGTAGTCACACTTGAGGACCACACTGGCAAACAGAGTGGTGTAACGCTCAAYGTCCTGCACTGTCACCAGCAGGGAGAGGCAACCTGCAAACAAGAACACAGAGCTCTGTCAGGAACACGCGTCACTTCACTGCTTTCACCCCGGACCACAACACCACATGAAGTAGGTCTGCCTTGGCCTCATAGGGAAATTGTGACCCAGAGATCCCACAGAGCTTGACAAACGGTGTGTGAAGGGATGTTTCACAGCCCCTCTGGCGACGCTGTGCAGAGACAGGACTCCTGGCTAGGATGCGAGTCCTCTCTTTCTAACAGGGCCACCCATGGCTTGAGCGGCCCATTCGTCTTTAAGACTGAACTCATCCCCTGAAGTAACCATGACCAGTCGTTACTAACACACTGCTCATGCTCTCCTTCTGCTGGGTAGAACTGTCCCCCGCGGCTGTGGGAGGGAACTCTTTGGGCCCAAAAGTGCACAGGACGGGACTGCCTTGCTTGGTCATCCTAACCAGAGCAGGTCTGCAGCGCCTGAATGAATTCTGTCAAGATCTTGCTAAAGCAGCCCTCAGAAAGCTGTGATGAAGACAACACTRCTTTTAGCTTTAACATTACAGTCCTGCTTTAGAACAATACACATCAGTCTCCCCTCCTCTTTATTTCTTTCCATAAAGTTCTTTTTCCCCCACTTTCTGATCACATCTCTAACAGTCTCCATAGCATTTTCTATCCACCGACCAAGGTGTCACGGACTTTCTCATATATAAGTTTAGCCACACTCCAGTGACACCTCTATCTTGTTTAAACTTTGATAACACAATAAATTGTGCTTGTCATTAACAATAGCAGAGTTATCACTGGCTCCCCTTCGATAAGGCAGTGCAAACAGTGCGAAGCAAGTGTGGGATACATGGTTTGGAGTACACCCCGGAGCACAGGACAGGGCCTGCAGCGGTGTGGCAGAGTGGCCCTTAAGAGGGGTGCATGATAGTGGGAAAGCACAAAAGTAAGCACTGAGGTTTGGAAGGTRCCAGTCAAAAGCGTCATTATGAACCAGCACTCGTTTCCATTGCATCTTTAAAATCTTCTCTTCTTTCTATGTTTTCAGGATGACAGCAAGGCAACCAGGGGCACTGCAGCGATGTCTAGATCACACCTGTGAGCACCATTCTTTCAATGCCCTTTTAGGTTGTGTCTCCACAGCATTCTCCAGGCAAACGTGATCTCTATCCATCCATAGCTTGTGCCAGGTGGAAACTCTATAGCTGCATGGGTGCAACTGCCTCAACAAAAATTTCTGCTGTAGGATATATATACATATCTATTAGTGCAGTACTGCTCAGCTCAGGGTTTGAAATGCTCTTGACACACCAGCTTGAAGCACAGGCAGAGCAAACTCATTTGTCTGAAAAATGCTCCACACAGACCAAGCTAAACTTTGAATTGAAGGCTCTCCTGGAAAAAAAAAAAGTAACATATACACACATACACATAAGCACAGAAATACCAATTGTTGTACAAAATTCCAGCAAAAGCAAGGCTCTATAGTTTTCACAGTGCTGTAACAGGCAAGATCAAGACTGGCGACAGGTAGTTACAGTGGTTCTTATTCATCTACGTTGTACTTCAACACAGCCTGTTTCACTGAGGCTTTCATTTTGAAACAGCAAAGTCACAGTATCTTACTGCAGGAAAGCCAAGCAACGAACCCCATATCCAAATGCCCAAAGGACTGACAAAACTTTGAAGTCATTGGCAAGCAATATTCCCTATATGAGATCTGAACTGCCTAGACTCATGAAAACTGAACAGATGTTCCATGGGTTTCTTAGGGCAGCATCTTTCACATAGGAATACAATACTCAAAAATCACTATGTGCTTCTCACTTTGAAGAAACCAAAACTCTTTATGAAAGGTGTTCACTGTCATTACCTCCATTATACAAAAAGGTGAGAGCTGAAAGACAAGCTCTCTTTCTTTCTAAAAGAGGTTAAAAACCTACTGTTCCTTCTGGATGACCATCAGATGTCTCAGCATTTCTGATGTTTCGTACTAACCTCCTCGATCAAGATGACACATGACAACTGAAAAGCTGTGAAAATAAGGAAAGTTCCTAAACTTGAACTGCATTCCTCTGCTGCCTTCTGTTGCCCTCCTTCTCTGCTTGGAAAGGATGAATTCAGGCCCTACCAACCTAAGATGCCACTGTCTCAGGTCTGTGACTTTATACTGCAATGGCACTGACTTTCAGAGCAGGCGAGGCCAGTTTTCAGCTTGTGAGAACATCGTGCAGGAATGTGGCTGCCGAGCAAGATAACCCACGAGCACCCCTCCCTATTGTTTCCCTTTCTATAGTGGTTCTCTGCAAGAAACCGAGCTTTGGCCCCTCAACCTCAATCGTTAGCAAGASCCTGGACATCTAAGGCTACAATGGTCGTTCCCTAGAGGAGATGAGAAGCTGGAGGAGAAGAAACAACTCTGTTTGAGGAAGGCTGCCTGCGGACGTCCAGAGAAGCTCCTGTTTCCATCTGCATGTACCATGCGCCAGAGCCCAAGCTGGGCTACCCCAGGGCTCCAAAGCAGCTGGGGGTGCAGATCCAGAAGCAAAAGCCAAGAGCTGGGCTGAGCATCGGGGAATCCCCGGGCTTCTTCCTGGTACTCAGGTCGAAACCCGCAGGCACGGAAGCAACACAGGAGGCCGCGGGGAAGCGGGAAACTGTTCCCCTTGGCCTAGGAGAAGAAACTTCCTCCCATCAGCCTAGGAGAGGACACCTTTGTGCCTCCACCTAGGAGAGGAGCCCCTTTCCATTACACCTAGAGGCGGAGCCCCCTTCCCACACCTCCCTGCAGAGGAGCCCCCTTCCCRGCACCTCCCGGCAGAGGGGCCCCCGGCGGCCGCTCCCGCATGCCCAGGCCTGCCCAGCGCCTCCGCCCGGGGCCTGGGGACACCCTGGGAGAAGGGAGCGCAGACCCCCCCCTCGTCCCCCGGCCCAAACCCACGGTGGGCGGGCGGGCACAAGGCGGGCCGCCCGCCGGGCCCCACTCACCCGCCGGCAGCCAGAGCAGCAGCAGCAGCAGCGGCGGCGGCGGCAGCGCCCGGCGGCAGCGCCCGCGCGAGGCCATGGCGAGGCCTCCTCCGCCCGCGGGCCCTCCCCTTCCCGGGGTGGCACCTGTGCCCTCCCCGCACCTGTCCCGGCCTCTCCCTCCCTCTTTCCCTCCTTCCTTCCTTCCTTCCGGCCGCCAGTCCCTGCCCGGCACGTCCCCGCCTCGCGTCCCGCCGCGCTGCCGACACGGCGGGACGCGCCRGGGCTGTCCCCGTGCCCTCGGCACAAGGGGCCGCTGACCCGGCGGAGCTGCCGGGTTTTTTTTTCCATGTATTTACTTGTTTCTGTGYGGGGAAACAAAACAAAACAAAACAAGCGTGGAAAGTTTCACGCCGAAGTTTTTGAGGCGTTTGCAGCCCCAGCAGCAAGAGGGAGTTTTCGTAACCTYGGGCTGCGGCAATTCCCGACTGAACCTGGTTGTGAGGGTTGCGGGGCCCTGGCTGACTGAGCTGAGTTACTCATTAAACGTCCTCGCGCGGCCCGTCCGCTGCTCCCCGTGCAGCCCTYGCCTTTCACACGGGCAAATCCTCAACGTGGCCGCTGCCCTTCCCAGCACGGAGCGTCCTCCYTCGAGGGATGGACCTGAACCCAAACGGGAGGAGGGAAGATGCAGCACAAATGTGTTATTTCGTTTTCTTTTCCTTGGAGCTGTGGTGTCCTTTATCCGCGGGGTCGCGCAGCCATCTCCTCTCTCGCAGGCCCAGGGAAGCTGCAGGTCGGGCCCGCCGTACCACCGAGTCACCCTGTTCCCACAACCGCCGCGCAAGGTGGCGGTGAGCAGGGAAAACACTGCAATTCCACGTATTTCGGCAACGCCGTGGGAGAAAAACACCAAAGTTTTGGGGGGATTCATTCTGCTTTCATGTTTAGCTTCAAAAGCACCTACAAGGGCGGCCGGAAGGGATTTTAGTTTTAAAACAAAACAAACCGCACAACAAGGAACCCCGCTACTTTAAGGGGGTTAAAGACCCGCTCTCCAATCGCTCSCGACAGCGGCGCTCGGGCGCCGGCCCCGCGCCCCGCGTAATGGCGCCCGCCGCCGCACTACAGCTCCCGGGAGCCCGTGGGGGCCGTTGCTTGGACACGGCGCCAAGCCGCCATGGAGGGGCCGCCAGGTAAGGGCGGCTCTCCCGCCCCGCGGGTGGCGGGAGGCTGTCGGGGAGGACGGGACAGCCGCCCCGTGGCCCCGCGGCGGCCCCCGGGCTTCCCCCGGGCTTCCCCCTGCGCCGCGGCTCTGCCCCGGGCGRCCGCCCCTGCCCTCCCCGCCGCCTTGGCCGTTAACGGCGGCGGGGGCTCCTAACCGCCCCCTTACACCGCGGATCCTTCCCTTCTCCTGCCTTTGTAGGAAAAACAGCCTTAAGTTTATCCTTAGTTGCTGCAAAAACTTGTGTTTTCTGTTCTCTTCCTCGAGCTTTCTAGCTAACGTAAGAGAAAGAGCTATGTTCACTATTACAATCAATGGTTATATACCTAAAACTGACATTTATTTTTAATTTCCTTGTGATGCTGACTGGTAATGAGACACAGATAACACAGACTGGTAATGATACACACAGCTGTGTCTGATTTATTAGTATAGAATGGCCGGTGTGTGATGCCTGTTTGCCCTCACCCTTTTTCTCATAGCATTAACGCACAGGTACATTTGGATATTTGCCCTAAGGTCCTGGCCCTAAGGCAAGGTGTATAATTTGGCATTGATGAAATGTTCTGATAACAAACCTACCTTTGTTTTTTTTCCTCATGAGAATTGTCACATCAGTTTTACTTTCCACTCAGTTTTCAATATCAAAAATTCTAATTCTAAGCTTTTCAAGAAAACTGTCTCCTAAACRTATGTACAGGGAGAGAAAATCGATGTTCACACAGATGCCACAGTGAACCTGTACTATAGTTCTCCGGATCTGTGAAACCCAGTATTTGCAACCAGGACAGACATTCCCTCCTTGAACATTCCTCAGATTTTACACATTCAAAACTTGCCACAGTGCTCAAACACTATCAGTGTAATAGGAACAATGAACATTGCAATAACCTTCTATTGCCAGAACCCACATATTGATGCAGGCTGAAATTTTCATGCCATCTTTCAGCCTAAAGCATTTTCCAAAGTTGAGTTAATTTATAATGAAAATTAGTCTTAATAGTCTTAATTTTTGGAAGATAAATGAGCGCTAATTAGTTACAATAATTTGAAATTTTATAGCACTTTTCTCTATGGATATCAAAACACTTTGCTAAGATGGGTAAGTATTATTATCACATTTTTCACAAGAGATAACTGAGACTGCCAGAGGTGAAATGGCAAATAAAAATTGTACACGCCGTTCTTAGCTCTAGTTCAGGTCTTTGAACACTCAACCATAGTTTTATATAGCTAATCTATAGCTATGTTTTCAATGATTTCAGATTCATTACCCCACTAAAAACTCATTTTTTWAAACTATGTAGAAATATATTGGAATTGTTTTCTGTTGATTTGATTTTTTGAATTGAAAAATTTCTGGATGTCTGCTTTCAAATTTTTCCCAGCATACCTGAGGGATAAAAAGTAATTTCATTCTTAAATGAAATTGTGTGTGAAAGTGAGACTCTGATAAAGCCTCAGAACTGTCAGCAGAAAAGTAGGACAGGTTGACTATATAATGGCCAGTGTACAATATCTGTTTGCCCTCAGCATCTTTCTGAAAACSTTTATACATAGACACGTTTAGATATTTTCGCTTTCCTGATATGCACCAAAAGATCTTTTCTCAAATGGGTTCTGATCTAATGCCAAGAACAGAAAGTGCCTTTTTAGGACCTTTGTTGTCTTGGTATCAAAATTCACCTTACTTGTAAAAGGAAATTTGTTTTAATTCTGGCAGTATTTGCTCATCTGAACACTTAGGCTTCTTTACATTTAACTTCTGACTTTTTTTTTTTTTYAATTTGGATTTTTTTATAGGTGTAATATTTGTAGAAAATTGCTCCAATGTTAATTTTAAAGTGTTTTCTTTGGAAATGGACACCACATTTGAAGTCAAAAGGCAGAATAAATTTAGAAGAAAAGTACTGTTTGCCCTTTTGGGTTCCTTTATGAAAGAGCAGAAAAGTTTATTTAAGAGATTAATGTGCACATTTTTTATTTGCCAAATTAAAATCTCTTCCAATCTAGGGCATAGTGATAAGTACTGAAATTATATCACTCTAAAAATGATAAAAGCTGAAAAAAAGCTGAAAGCTGAAAAATTTCTGGGATGGGAACTAGATGCTTAAGGTTCTTTAATTTTGTTCATTTTATTATTTTATTAATTTACTTTCAAGGAATGTTGAATGCTTTTAAGAAGWTCTTAAAAAGAAAAAACCCTCTTGCTTTTCCATTGAAAATGTCAGATGACTTCAGATGATCTTTCAAGACATTTTGAAGTCCACCAGAAAGATGGAAAGACAGAGGAATAGCTTTCTTTTTTTTTCCCTCAAAAATAAATCTCTCCTGAATATATCAGAGAAGCCCCAAACATGCAAATCTCTCTTCAGCCTCCCCTGTCTGTAACTTGTGCATGACTGTAGAAGTGCACAGAGCCCTGGGTTCCCGAAAACTGAGCCTTGAGCTCATCCCATAGAGCTGAACATATCCCTGGGTCAGCTGTACTTGTAGTTTGCAAACAAGGCACAAATATTATGTTTGGGAATCTCAGAGCATTTGAGAGCAAATGGAAATATTCTCAAATAGCAGAAGAAGACAGGAATAATGGAAGTGTCTTTCTATCACCAGCAGATAAAGAGAATGTGGCATCATCCACAGCGGGACAGGAGGGAGCAGATGAGAAACCAGTGGAAGGTGCCCAGGCAGATCACAGCAGTGTCCGTGAGTATTCCCAGAGATTTCCCAGGGACATAGGGATTTCAATACTGGGCCTACCACAGCTTCTGTCTTCTCACACTACTTACCCATTCCTTACTAGTAAGTGTGCATCTTCAGTTGTTACTCCTGATGCTGTCAAATTTAATTCTATCACTGGTCAAATATTACCCCATCCAGAGAATTTCTGGACTGAGCACTGTATCTGCAGCTCCAGCTGTCCTTCAGCCCACAAAGCCTCTTCCTTAATAATTCTTGCTTCCTTAATAATTCTTCCTTAATATCCTTAAGAATCCTTGCTTCCTTAATAATTCCTGCAAACAATTTTTTGTCATTTGTTTGATCTTCCTATAATATGTATATATACATATATATTTTTTTTTTCTGTTATTTTTACCTTTGTTCCTTCTGCTAAGTTCTAAAATGTGGTTATTTGAAGTCAAACTTTTTTGTAGACAACAGAACATTCATTGATGTACAGAAGGCTTTTTTTCTTTACTACCCTGAAATTATATTTATTTAAATTTAATAATACAAATTTATTTATATTTAGCATGTATGAGTAAAGTGGTTGAGTATATTCCTACTTAGTGATCCCAATTATCYTTTGCAGAAGAAAGCAAAACTAACCTTCCAAAGGAATCTCCAACTGCAGAGGAACAGGAGGAAGAATTGGAGCAAGTGGAATCTGACACTGATCTAATTCGTGAGTATTGTTTCCCACCGAGGAGTTTCTGTCATGTCCTTAAAAATTCCCCTGCTTTATGGTTTCCTAGTTTCTCTCAGACCAGAGCTACCAAGTTACGCCCAGTGAGTTTCTATTCTTCCTTTTAACCTGGTTAGTTTGTTTACTTTGTTTCATTCTTGCCTAGGGCTGGTATCTGATGTTGGGGGTGGGTGCATAGTATTTTTRTTAACTGATACAACAGTATCTTTGGTGTATTTTTCATATAGAATCTAGGAAACAAAACAAAATAGTAAGTTCATAAAATGAACATCCTCATCACCTACAAAAAGATAGTGGAGAATCAGCCTGAGGAATCAAAATTGAAAGTACTTTTAACAGGTGCTTACGTCTAATCAGACTTCAAGTTGTGGCACTGCTCTGCAGTCCAGTAAAGAACTTT